AAACCTGTCTGGCACAAAAAGAAGCTGCAGGCGGCTTTTCAAAGAAGAGCGACACTCGCTGCACAACAAATCCCGCAGGGAAAACGCCTGGGCGGGCATTGATTATCGACGTAGGCAAGACCGCCTGCATTGCCAGGCACAGGCTCCTCTTATATTCTTCATTTCTGCGGGCAGGATGGAATTTAATAGAAAACAGTGACTTTGTCTGGCTATATTCCACGTTCCCATTACCTTCAGTGAGTGTTGTACATTTAACGGTAAGACACTCACATAGCAATCACTAACAATCATTAATGAATTACTTTCTCTATTTTATTTGTCACTTTCTATATCTTCACTGAACCTAGTTGAAACTGGTTGAAAAAGTGAAGACTTACATAAAGACTGTTCTTTAATAAGTTTTTATTTATTGTCTTTCGTTATTTTCGGAAACTTGGTATCAAATTGACTCTTATTAACGACTCGGTAGATAACCGCCAGCAACGCTTATAAACCACAAACAATAGCTGATGTGTTTATCAAGATTAATTTCACTACCTTCTAGAACAAAGCGATCGCTTTTATAGTGGGTCATCCCACTCGAACACGTGGAGACATTAGGCAAATGAAAGCAAAGGAGCCAGAGCTATGGGCTCCCATATGGTCTTGAAAGCTGGTATCTTTAGCTAAATATCATGAAATTTGGCCAACATAGCCACAGAGGAAAAACTTGAAAAGTGAAAAGGAAACCTGGAAGGTGAAAATTAGTTAACGAGTCGGGGGCCGGTCATACAAGGAAAGTGAGCTTCTGAAGTCAATCCTGTGCTGGACCAGTGATTTCGTAGAATGGTGTTGTCTTAGCGGAATGTGGAAGAATGGTTCAAAGGGGAAGAACGGAAAAAGGAGTGGCCGAGATGGGCTCCGTAATGTTCATGCTGCACAAGAAAACTGAAAAGAAACCTAAACGCTCGTACCTTTACGTACGTACAAGGCTTGGTCGGCATGGCCGGGGGAAAAATGGAAGAAGAAGTTGAAAAGAAACGTGAAAGGTCGAAATCAGCGCTGGATTCTTGAATCGGCCATGATGTTAGGAAAAAGCGCTGCTCACGTTGACTCTGTGTTACAGTGTTGTTCTCAAAACACAACGTGGAAGATTTGCCGCAGAGGTCTGAAGATAGAAGAACGAGGAAAGTTTTAGCCCCATAATGTTCGTCGTGCGCAAGAAAAGCGGTGGATGAAGTCGAGCGTCGAATGTCTGACTGCAGAGACTGGATCACTGTCGAGTTTCCCCGAGAGACTGACATTCCTGCTCCAACCGTTGACCCTATAGAAAATGAAACATGGCC